TTCGGTTTAGCTAATTTGACACAGTGTAAATCAGAAAACTATACACAAAAGCTACTTGAATTATTTTCTGTGTAGTTGTGTTACCAGTTTGATATACAATTAGGTTCATTTGGTTAGATTTTACTTTTCCCATTTACTTACATGTCTCATAGAGTAAAACTATATTAAAAGATATACTCAGAAAAGTCTCACTCCCAGAGTATCTCCTCCACTATGTTCTTACCCATCCCTTACCAGGTATGAGAGAGACAGATATACAGTTGCCCCTTGTTTTAGGTACGATTTATATATATATAAATCCCCTGTTTCTCGCCAAAAGGTAGCATAGTGTATATAGTCTACTGCATATTGCAATACAAGCAAACTTAAAAAATTTTAACATCCCAAATCACCAAATTCAGAAACAATATTTCAAAGAAATCTTATTAACACACCCAAGGATAATATAAGTAAGATGTTACAAGATGAAATAACACACTGATATAAATATCTTTTGGTAAATGTTAGAAATATCTCTCATAAATTTCATGACTCTAAAAGCAAGGTCTTTCTTCAAGAATTACAAAGTATGAGAAATGTGAGTTCAGTGGAAGAGAGAACAATGCTAAACAGACTAAAAAATCTAGACTTGATATAATAGCATTTTATTTAAGAAAATAAAGGGTTTTTGTTGACTGCAAGCTTCATGTGCACCAATAATCAGGTGGGGTTGCTTATATGATTTTTTTATTGTATTAACAAAAGCACGGTTCCTAGGTTATTGTAATCAGAAATTCTATTCTTTGTTGGTTGGACCAAATGTGAAACAGTGTTCAATTCACGGGACCATGTTTTAAGAGGAACACTGAAAAGAGTACACAGAAAGAAGGGAATATGTTTTGAGGAGAGAACTAAAGGAAACAGAACTTCCTTCAAATATTTGAAAGCAATTACACAGAATAAGAAAAAGGCTCATCTTGTATTCCTCTGGAAGGCAAAACTCACGCCAGAATATAGATATCATCAGAGGAGGACTTCAACTTCAGAAAAAAACACTGTTACAGTTAAATGTACTGCATTGGTGAGGCCCCATCACTAAAGGATGTGGGAAGGCTGTACTGAGTCAACTCTATAATTCAATTTTCTATTCACACCTAAATAGCTTGAGAGTAGCTTTCTATAAAATAATATAGTATGTGTTATTCATAATGATGACCCTGATTCATAAATAAAATATTAAACTGTTAGCTATACATCATTAAACATGGTTGGAACTGTGAACACTTTCTAGACGCTGCTGACTTGTTTTCTAGTCGGTGACCACATTCAGACCCGGCTGGGTAGGTCCGACTGACAGCTAGGACTATCCATTGTCTATTAGAATTCAGGATTCAAAATAGAAAAGCTTATTGTAAATTAATTCATCTCCTAGGAAGAAAGGGTTAGATATATCAGCAAGACATCTTAACAGTGTCTCGGTCATCAACTGGAGCAACGTTCTAAATTGTGCTTCTCACCTAGATTTGTTTTCCAGCTTCCTGTGAATACATGAATGCCTTAGGGGAAAAGGGGATTGTGAGCAAAACCTAAAAGAACTGTGTTGACTAAAATGTCTGTAAGACTTTAAAATGCAAGATAATACTTCTTTGGTGCCCACATGACATAACACCACCGGACATGTTCTTTCTCTCTGCTCAAAACACAAACTGGCTTGGGATCCAAGAATACAGTGCCACTGTTTTGTGTAGAGGGAGGGTTTCAGCACATCAGCTCTGCCTATGGCAGCATTGGGATTTGGAGGGAAGTGCCCAGAAGGAGAGGGGTAGGATATGTCCAATGGCCAAGGGCCTACATTTACTTTTGCATGCAATAGGGCTTCAGAAGCTAAAGAAAGAAGGTAAAGTCTTCTTCATGAGCATACTAGGCTATGCCTTGGTGATTTCCAGTAATAAAAGGGGGAGAATTCTCTCTAGAAAAGGTAGCCATTTCTACAGAGTAGCCAGTTCATTATTCTAAACATGACCTGCCTGTAAATTAAACATGCCTGTAAATTCTTTGACACTTCTTCCATTGATAGGTAGGATCGAAATCACCCCTTCTTGAATTTGGACTGGGATTAGTGACTTACCTGTAACCAATAAAATGCAGCAAAAGTGATGCTGTGTGACTTTGGAGGCTAGGTCATAAAATGCAATACAGCTTTCACCTCCTCACAGGAATACCAGCATTTGGGGCTCTCAGCCACCTTGCAAGAAGTCTGATTACCCTGAGACGAACATGCTATGAGGAAGCTCAAGCCACATGACGAGAGTATGTTTAGGTATTCTGGGTGACTGACTCAGCCGAGGTCCCATCTTCAACCACCAGACATGTGAGGAAATATGCTTCCTGATGATTCCACTCCCGACCCACTGAGACACCCTCTAGACACTGAGTCCTCCCAGATGAGCAGAGATAAGCCATCTTCCCTATGCCTTGTCTGAATTCTGAGAGGGTAACTTTATATTTTATAAAGGGCAAACCTATAATGTTTGATCCTCACAATGATATAATTAGGTACGTTGGACTGGCATTATTATTACCCTAATTTTATAGATTAAAACAATGACAACAACAAAACTGAGATCAGAACATACCCGCTTTGAGATTATATAGCCAAGATGTGGCATGATGACACTAAAATTCTGATCTTTGGACTCCAAAGTTTATGCTTTCTTTATATTTTCCCATCTGGATACTGTGGGGCCTTGGAATGGCCTAGAGAAATCAAAAAAGATATATTTGAAGACAAGATCAGAAAATGCTGAATAAATGGAAGCTAACAAGAATCAATATTAAATGGATATCAGCCATCTTGTAAAGAAATAACCATGTAAGATATGATGGCCATACCAATCTGAACAAGCCCAATCCCATCTTATCTCGGAAGCTAAGCAGGGTCGGGCCTGGTTAGTACTTGGATGGGAGACCACCTAGGAAGACCAGGAGCTGTAGGTGTAAAAAATAAAAAAATAATAAGGGATTGTAAGCTAACGAGGTCCTTGCAATTTGTGAGGTCAACCAAGGGTTGCCTTGCCTTAAAAAAAAAAAAAAAAAATCGAACCAATGAAAAAGTAAATTTAGGACTTTTAACATTATGAGAGTGTTTTAATGATGTCATATTTTCAGAGGCTGCTTTAAAAAAAATGAAACAGGAATATTAAGAGAATTTAAAAACCTGCCAATTGTGTTTCTGATGAAATCAAGGGGAAAAGGTGCCATGAGTGGCTGATGGTGCTATTTCAGTCCGCTCCGAAGTATGTCCTCCTAGTAAAGAGCGGCAGTTCAGACAATAGCTAGATGGCATTACCCCTTACGCTCATCTTCATTCATTCTACTTTTGCCAAGGCAGCTCTTGATTTAAATTTAGTCCCTCAAGGAGAGTTTCTTGGGAAGAGAAAGTACAATGATACAAAACATAGCATGTTCATTTGATAGGTTGTATATTTTTCAGCGTAGAGGGATACTATTCTGATTAACCAAGCAGTCTCACACAACTACTTACCTTTGGACTAAGGGTCAGCTCCCCTGGGCTCCTGGTGACTCTATAAATATGCAGACATCCTGCTTCAGAGGTCAGCAGGACAGCTTTCTATCTCTTGAATCATCGTGAATACAATAAAGAAGTCACTGGTAACTTCCCCCCTTATGGGAAGTACAAAAATGCAGAGGCCTCTCAAAGCTCCTCATGACTTGACATTCAGGTTCCTTTGGTGACTATCTTCCGACCATAAGGAGTCCACAGTAACTTCCACTATGTTTCTCATTTCTATTTCTCCCTTCCTAACTTTTTTTCGCAGAAAATTCCCTTTTCCTTTTAAATAAACCTATTTTAAATAATGAGCTGGATTTAATTCCATTCTATAATTGGGCCTCTCAGAGGGAATTTACTTTTCCCCTCTTGTTTTTATGCATATTTTGCATAGAAAATACCTTGGAATGTTCTGTTTAAGAAAGGCACAAAAGTATTTAAAATATTTTGAACGGTTTCCTTGAAAATAGTTTTGATGCTTCAGATATCTAGAATGTTCTGTGCTTCTGCAGGTCCTAGCACATGGAAAGCACTCCACTGACATTTGCTAAATGAATGCATCTGGAAAACGAAAAATAAGCTAAAAGGAAACATTCCTCGATGATGAAAAAAAAAAGCTTTTAGATTTCCATTAAGACCCACTTTAACAGGCCAAATCCTTTAATGAAAAGGATGCAAGCATCATTCTGATAATTTGGCTGTTCCTAAATCTATTTCTATCAAATGCCACTTGGCTGTCAACCCTGGGGCTTCAGGTCTTATTTTCATGACTCAGAGACGTCTGTCGTAATGGAATAACACCAGTATGGGCTTCCCCGTCCTCCTCCCTCTAGGATTTCAACTGCTCGAACACCACCCCTGCTCTTCTAGTAAATCCTACATTACAGAACAGGCTTAGGGCGAAGAGAATAAAGTAGGAAACCGGAGCCATGGAAACGGCGGAGCGCAGGAAGCCGCCGAGCGCGAGGGTGTGCAGGAGGCGAAGGAAGCCTCCTCAGACGAGGGCGCGAGGGCGCTCCTGAGATTACGTCACGCACCCCGGGTGACGTCACGACCGTGACACGCGGGTGACGCCGTTGCCGCGGCGACTTCTAGTGGTCTCCGCCCCCTTCCCCCGCCCCCAGCCTAGCGTCCTTCCCCCAATCCCCTC